TCATATTTTCTGATTTTTAAATTTTCTGATTGTTTGATTTTCAAATTTTTTGATTTCTTGATTTTCTCAATATCAGATTTTTTGGTTTTCAGATTATTTTTTCCTTAATTTGTTTTCCGTACCGACTCCAGGAAGGCAATCCACACCTGGACCCTATCTATTAACTCATCAACTCGTAGACCGGGGAACAATGGCTTTACTTACCTTCCGAAGGAAGGCGTGATCAAAGATTTTATGCCTCAGAAACTCCTGACGGTGCCGACTGGGATTGTTCCCAGGCCACTGGCACCGCAAATTTTCTGATTTTCTGAGATATTCAGGTTGCTGCCCTTCTGATTATCTGAGTTTCTGATTTTTTCATTTATGTTTTTCTGGTTGTGTGATTTGCTGATAATGTAATTTTTTTGATTTTCCGATGTGCTGATTTTCTTTTTTTTTTAGTGTTTAATAGTCTTTTGTTATGTATTTTTTTAAAAGGTTCCGATTTGCTTGTTTTTCAGATTTTTTGAAATGCTGTGACTTGAATTTTCAAATTTAAGTATTTTCTAATTTTAGGATCTTCTGATTTACAGATATTTTCACTATCTGTTACCCAAAATTTAAAATTTTCTTATTTAATGATCTTCTGATTCACTGTTTTTTTTGGTTTTCTGATATATCATTTTCGTTTTTTTTTAATTTATGTTTTTCTGATTGTCTGGTTTTCTGAATATCTGATTTTATGACAACTAAGTTTTTTTTTATATTCTGGTTTCTTTTTTTTTTAATTTTATGATATTATGTATTAAATGATTTTATGATTTTATGGTTTTATTGTTTTTCTAAATGCCTAATTTTCAAATTTCCAATTATAAGATTTCATGATTTTCTGATTTTTTAAATTTTTGATTATTTGATTTTCTGATGATCCACTTTTTAGCTTTTATGATTTTCTGACTCTTTGATTATCTGATTATATGTTATTCTGATTTAATGATATTCAGATTTTCTCATTTTTCGATCTTCTGAGTTTCAGCTTCTCTGATTTAATGATTATCTAAATTTCTGATTTTTTGATTTTCAGATGTTCAGGTTTTTGATTTTCTGAAATTTCGATTTGATGATTTTCTGTTTTTTTATTTTATTTAGGAGTTCCTGATTTTTGTGTTTTGAATTTTTCAATATTATGATTTTCTGATTTTTGTGGTTATTAGATTTTCTGATATTTTGACAACTTAAATTATTGATTTTCATAATTTACGATTTTCATTTTTTCTGATGATCTGTTTATAGATTTGCTTATTTTCGGATTTCCTTATTTTCTGTCTTATGATTATTAATATTAATTTTTTTTTGTTTTCTTAATTTCTGAATTTCTGTATGTTGAGATTGTCTGATGTTCTTATGTTCTGATTAACCAATTTTCAGAATATCTGATTTACTGATAATCGGAATTTGTAATTTCCCATTATAAAATTTTCTGATTTTCTTATGTTCTTTTTTTTTCAAATTGATTTTCTGGTAGTGATTGTCTCCTTTCTTGGTTTGTTCGAAGGATATAATTTTCTGATGATCTGATACATCAATTTTATGATCATTTGAGTTGATGATGTTCTGATTTTATAATTTTAAGTTTTTCTGGTTTTCTGATTTTTCGATTTTATAATAATTTGATTCTCTTATTTTTTGTTTTTTTTTTAATTCTATGATATTCCAATTGACATATTTTCTGGTTTTCATATTTTCTGATTTACTTTTACAATTTGAAGACTATCAGATTTTTGATTTTAATGTGTTTTTTTTATGAATTCTGTGTTTCACATATAATGAATTTGAAATTTTTAAAATTATCTGATTTATTGATCTCAGATTTTTTAAATTTTTTATTTTTGAATTTCATATTTTCTGATTAAATGATTAAATTATTTTTATTTATTAAAATCTTCTGGTGGTATGATTTTTAAATTTTTTTGGTTCCTATGTTTAACGATTTTTTTTTAAATTTTTAATATGTTATTTTTGCATGTTTTTATTATGAATTAATGATTTTATGATTTTTAAATATGATTCATTTCTTGGGATGGCCAGTGGTGGCAGGGAGGAATATCCCTCACCATACTTCTCTAACGGGGGAGTTTGGTAATGAGAGATGATCAAACCGATTTGTACCTTCCTAAAAAGTTGTCCTTGCTCGCTTTCTACTCTCTAAATACAATTTTCACACTGCCGTACTCTAACGGAACTATCAACTCTATACTTTCATTTCCTCTTCTATGTTTTAAAAATTACCACTTAAATTTTATATCAGTGGTTCAATGTTATTTGAAATCAGCATCGTCAACTATAAAGTACACTGGAACCTCCATGTACGAACCAAAATGGGGGTTCGTAAATTGAATTAGTGGGTAAAAAAAAACCTCGTTATTTGGGATTTACTTCGTAAAAAGAAAACTCGTTATTTGGGATTTAATTCGTAAAAAGAGGTTTATGAAAATATTATCAAATACCCCACAATATGAGTTTTTTTGGAATCAGGGTGACGTGTAGGGACCGGAAATCGATGTCTGACACCATTTGGAAATCCAAGATGGCGGCTTCCGGTTACATAAAAACTTGGAAATTCTGTCAAATACCCCAGAATATGGGTTTTTTTGGAATCAGGGTGACGTGTAGGGACCGGAAATCGATGTCTGACACCATTTGGAAATCCAAGATGGCGGCTTCCGGTTACATAAAAACTTGGAAATTCTGTCAAATACCCCACAATATGGGTATTTTTGGAATCGGAGTGACGTGTAGGGACTGGAAATCGACGTCTGACGCCATTTTTAAATCCAATATGGCGGCTTCCGGTTACAGGAAAACAAAAAAATACCGTTAAATACATAACAATATGGATATTTTTGGAATCGGGGTGACCTGTGAGAACCGGAAATCCATGTCTAACATCAAATTGAAATCCAAGATGGTGACATTTGGTTACAGAAACACTGGAAGATACCATCAAATACCCCACAATATGGTTTTGTTTTAACCGGGGTGACTTATTAGGACTGAAAACCCATGTCTAACGCCATTTTGAAATTCAATATGGCGATTTCCGGTTACATAAAAACATAAAAATAATGTTAAATAAACAACAATATGGGTATCTTAAGAATCGGGGTGACGTGGTGGTATTTTCCAATTTTTCTGTAACCGGAAGCCGCCATCTTGGATTTCGAAATGGCGTCAAACATAAATTTCCCGTTCTCACAAGTCACTCCAATTCCAAAAATACCCATATTGTGGGGTATATGACAGAATTTCCAAGTTTTTATGTAACCGGAAGCCACCATCTTGGATTTCAAAATGGCGTCAGACATCGATTTGCAGTCCCTTAACGTCACTCCGATTCCAAAAATACCTATATTGTTGGGTATTCGACAGAATTTCCAAGTTTTTATGTAACCGGAAGCCGTCATCTTGGATTTCCAAATGGTGTCAGACATCGATTTCTGGTCCCTACACGTCACCCTGATTTCAAAAAAACCCATATTGTGGGGTATTTCACAGTATATCCCAGTTTCCCAAAATCACAAAGAAAAACCCGTTATTTGGAATTTATTTCGTTAAAAGATACCTCGTTATTTGGGATTAACTTCGTAAAAAGAGGGACGTAAATTGAATGCTGCGTTAAAAAAGACTTCGTAAACGGAGGTTTCAGTGTATTAGTTTCTTGTTTCAATATTTTTTATGTTCTTATTTTATGATTTTCTGAATTTTCTGATTTCCTGATTTGCTCATCATTTTATTTTCTGATTTTCCGATTTCAAGGTTTTATGATTTTTTGATTTTCTGATTTTCTGATTACCTGACTTTCTGATATTGTAATTTTCTAAAATTCTGACTTACTGGCTTTTTGATTAACAGATCATCAGAAAATCAGAACATCAGAAATTCAGGAAAGCAGAATTTCTGATGTTCTGATTTTCTGATGATCTGTTTTAATTTTTTCTTGTTTTATGGTTGTCTGAAATTCTGATTTTCAAATTTATTCATTAACATAAAGTTTTTTTTCGTTATTCTTTTTTTTTGTATGTTTGAAATATTCTGATTTACTGGTTTTCTTATTTCTGATTTTCTGGTGTCTTGATTTGCAGATATTCAGATTATTTATTTTTTAAACACTTTATTATAAGATTTTTTTTTTCATTTGATTTTATTATTTTCTTAGTTTTTTTATTTTAAATTTGCATGAATTTCTGATTATCTGTTTTTCTTTTTCTCTGATTTTAGAATATTCTGAGTTTGAAGAATGATTTAAGATTTTCTAATATTGTGATGCTCTGATTTTTTTAAACTTCCTCTATTCTGATTGTCAAATATAAAGGTTTCCTGATTTTCTGAATATTACTTCTTTTATGACTTTCTTATCTTATAGAATAATTTCCTGATGTTATATAATATGTTGATGATCTGAATTTCTGATTTGCTGATTATCTGATTTTCTGAATTGATGATTTTCCGATTCTATGATTTATTGGTTTTCTGATTTTCTGCCTATCTGATTTTTTGTTCTTCTGATTTCCTGATTTTCTGCCATGCTGATTATATGATTTTGGAGTTTTAGAAATTTTCTGAGTTTATAAATTTCTAATTTTCAGATTTTTGGATTTTCTTCTTTTATGATTTTCTGATTATCTTATAGAATGATTTCATGATTTTCAGATTTTTGGATGATCAGATTTCCTGATTTTAGGATTTCCTAGTGTTACGCCCGACGACGTAGTGGACCTAGTTTGTAATCTAAGAACTGAGAACAGTGAATTTGATAATACAAGGTTTAGTGTGATACCTTCGGAGCATACGGCTTCACTGACGGTGATTTGTAACGATGCAATTATGGCACGAAGTAAACTGCAGCCCAAATCGTTTGCCCATCCTGATAAGGCTTAAAAGTCTTTCGTTGGAGCACTGGTCACACAATCGAACCGGAGGTGTTTGCCCATTCGAAAATCTTGGAATTACTGGATTTGAGCATGAAAAACATTTGGTCGCTTCCGGATCATTTGTTCTGTTCGCTAAATGGGTTGAGATCATTGAACATCAGCTCCAACTGGCTGCAGGACGTGAATGATTTGGGCGTCCGAGAGAAGCCACAGGTGAAGGATGAGAGTGGAAACAGTACCACAGTCAGTTGCAACTTGGATCTGGAAGATTTGGATGTATCCCAGAATGACTTTGTCCTGCTACCAGGCAGTGGATTTGGAATGTTGAAACGATTGAAGCTACTCAAAATCCACGACAAAGAGATTTCCGTGGTTGTTGACAAAGCTCTAAATGGGTTGAAGGAGTTGAAGCTCTAAATAAGCTGGAGCCGGAGATCTTTCCGGATTTGTATACTCGTTAAATCCTTAACCTACGACACAACCAGCAGGAAATTGTCACTGCTGATACTTTCTTTCCCATGAACAACCTCCACACACTGCTGCTATCCCATAACAAAATCAAATATCATGATGCATACCCCCATACAACAACGTCATGACCGGCTTTCCGCAACTGCCCTCAAGGATATGCGTCATCTTCGGACCGTTGACCTGGGCGAGAACTCCATCACCATTATTGTAGAACCCGGCTTCCGTGGAATGAACAATCTCTATGGTCTACGTCTAATAAGCAACCAAATTGATAACATCTCCCGTAAGGCGTTCAAATACCTACCCAGTCTGCAAATCCTGAATCTGGCTCGAAATAAAATCAAAAACCTAGAGTCGGGTGCCTTTGAACCGCCCTTCAACGTTCAAGCCATCCGCCTGGATGGCAACCTTCTAACTGACATCGAAGGCTTTTTCACCAAAATGCCCAGCAACCGGTTGGAAAGCTTTGATTACTCGCAAATCCCAACGCAACTGCAGTGGCTGGATCTGGACAAGAACGACTTCACCGATAGTCTGATTGTCTTATTTTTTTCCTTAATTTTAAAAGTTTCCGATTTATTATTCTTAAATGTAGTTTTATAATTTTCAGAATTTCAAATTTTTCTTTTAATTTCTGATTTTCAGATTTTCGTATCTTTTGATAATCATTTTTTTTTTCTTATTTTCTAATGATCCGATGTTCAGGTTTTCAGATTTTCAGATTTTCGGAGGATCTGGTTTTCTGACTGTATGATGTTTTGCTATTTTTTTTTATTTTTTTTTTTTCATATTTTATGATGTTTTTTTTCTTTTTTTTTCTTTTTGAATAAGACGGTTTTTAGATTTTTTTTTCTGTTCTACTGACTGTCTTTCTTTTAATTCAATATATTCCGATTTTGTGAAAATCATTTTTTAATGTTTTATAATTTGCAGATATGTGAAAAATATATATTCTTACATTTTTTTGTTGTTTTTCTTAAAACTTTTTTTTTAAGTTTTTTTAATATAATTATTTTCTAATTTTTTATTTCTTTTCTTTTTAATTTAATTTTTTTCTGATTGCCTTATTTTTTAAGTTTCTGATTTCTTACTATATGATTTTATTATTTTTTGTTTTTTTTTTATTTCAAATCTATCATCTGATTTTCTGATTTTATAATTTTTGAATTTCTTATATTCTGATTTGATTGAAGAATGAATTCCCTGATTTTATGTTTTTTTTTTGATAATTAGATTTTTTGATTCTCTGAGTTTCTAATTTTCTGATTTTCTGATTTCCCGTTTATTATGATTGTCTGATTTAATTTTTCTTGTGTTTTCAGATATTCTTATTTTCTGATTTTGTGACATTTTGATTCTCAGATTTTCTGTTTATATGATTTGCTGATTATATAATGTTGGGACCGCCTCTTAGCTTCATTTCATCTCTTGTAGCTCCAATTTAATTTACCTAGCAATGAGCCATTTCTTCGCGTGCCACCCCAAGCGCTCAATTGCAAACCACAGCGACATAAATTAAAATGCAAATGTGACACTTTAATTCAATTAAATTGAATGAACAGCTGACAGATCCCATACCGGACCCGGATCTACATCCTTGCAATGACAGCCCAACAATGGCAAAGTGGACGTTGGTTGGATGGTCTTGCCGTGCTTTGGATTTCTTTTTCTCCCAATTCCGTAGCCATCGTCGTCGTCGTCGTCGTCGTCATCGTATAAAATGGTCCAACCGAAGCGTAAGATTCATCCTGAAACGGACAGTGACCAGCATCACCACTACCACCGGGACAATGCAGTTGACCAGAACTTTCTTTTTGTTGCAGCAGCCCCATTTAGGGGGTAACCTCTGTGTTTAGTTGCTTGAGTGATTTCTCAAAAGAAAATCGTCGGTCTTCTTTCTGGCTGTGCAAAGAAAGAAAGATGTGTCTCTGCAATTGTTGCTTCACATTTACTGCTCCGGGAGAAGACCTTTTATGTCCTCCTCCTTTGGAAGGGAGTAATTCTTTGTTGCACTGGATAATGGTCCCAGATGTAATAAATTTCAATTTGACTAAGCTGCATTTTGAATGGTTTCATTGTTGAAGTCATAGCTATTCATACACATTTTAGAAATCCCTCTGCTATCTATCGGTATGCGGAATTCAATTAGTTTGATTCGAAAGTATTGCAACGAACCCCCTAAAGTCCATCCAGATCTGTAAAAATTAACTTGAAATGCTTCTTCTGTTGGAGCAGCTCGAACTTCCTGCCCGTAAATAGCATCTTGTTTATTACCGACAAAAGTCAAGTTCTTTCCACTCCTCAACCCCTTTGATGCGTTTTCGGATATTCGTTCCTATAAAATAGTTTTCTCTTATTACATTCTCTCAGCAGGATATGACTTACCTTCCCAGAGCGATCTTCCCACAAAAGTATGCAACAAAAACCAGTCCTGCCCGTCCGGATGTTACGATAATCAAGCAGCTTTCATTCTTCGGCTCGAAGCTGTTGATGGGAATGGTCCCCTGCGACTGTTACTGGAATATGTATAATGTTGCTTCTGCCCGGTCGGATCCGCCCACCTACCAAACCATAAAGTGCGTTCCTAGGGCACTTCCGGACCGAGAAAGAGCGAGCAGTGGGTTGTCTTCCTGAATGCCTGGCTCCGGACTGGGCCAAACATGAACACAGTAACCACACAAACCCTTGCTGCTACGATAACCGACGACGGAGGGCACAGGCTGTATAAATACCAAAGTACAGCAAATCCTGTGTGCTCCGGAGGGACGCTCGAGTTTTGTTCTCGAGAGACTTTTACTATTTATCGACATGTGTTTGCGTGTAATGCAAATTTATGCTGCACATAAATATAAATTCAGTCTCGTTTACAACTTGGACCTACAAACTCCTCCGGTTGTTATTGCACTTAATATGAGTTCAGGTGGTGGGGAAGGGAGGGGGTGCGGTTTGGACTCTGACCGGTGTTGGCTGTTGCCACTGACTCCCACTGGGAGTTGTTTACCAAATTGTGGCGATTGGGGTGCTTCTTACGCAAGTTTTGCTTTATTCTTGCTAAGCTCAACACACTGGTCGTAATCTTACCCATCTGGCGAAAGACTCCGGTTGTTTATTAACCCAGCAATTTCGGAAGGCTTGGTGCTATTTCATAGTTTACTGGGTTGAAAGGTTTTAATTACCGGCTGTGTGGAAGGAAGATGCCTAGCTGTCTTATAATCTTGTTTATATTTGCATATTTCTCTAGAAGTAAATCGTACAATAACACTAACCGGGGTTTGCCAACGTGCATGCATATGCAACGATACGAACTGATTGCGAGATTCAAAGGAGGTTTCTGAAAAAATACCCAAGGGGCGATCAACAGTTATTCTTCCAAGCCCAGCAAAGTGCGTGTCGATTCATGTTGATATGGCTGGTTCTCGGCAATGTGGTTATAACATTTTAAGATTGTGCTACCATTTGAAAGCTTTCCAACGGAACAGATAGGGCACTGATTGAACTTGTCATTGGTCAGTTGGAATGGAATGAACCTGTGAGAAATCTGAGAAATATGCGTGTGGAATCAAACATTTTTTTTCTAGACTAAAAAACAGTTCCAAGATAACATAAAATGTAAGGATTGAAATTTTTTCTTTTGTATGCTGGCATGGTAATTTTTTTTATTAATTTTGTGCATTTATTTAATTTCATTTACCTCTAGTTTTTTTATGAACAGAACTCCGTAAAATGATTTATGAAGCTTTTGTTGGTTTTAACATTAGCTACAACTTTTGTAAGTAACTCAAATCTGTCTCTCATATGCATATTGAACCAAAGTGAACAGAACGCACCATTATTTTTTCAGTTAATGTAAATTGCATTCACTGAAAAACAATAACAAGTTCTGCACACTTTAGTTCCATATGCATAAGAGATAAAGATTTGAATTATTTACAAAAAATTTAGCTTATATCATAATTTACAAAAGTTCTATACATAATTTACAAAAGTTCTATACATAATTTTACAAAATTCTGCTGATGAAAAAAGTTAGAGGCGAATTAATGTAAATGAATAAACGGAATGAATTAAAATGATTTTCCATGCCTGCCTGTATGATCACATGGTAGCTATCCGCAAATCTGGATTCACCAGGTAAATAAACTTTGTATGAAAGTAGCGATAGAGATCCATGATTTCTGATTAAATTGCGTAGAGTTTTGAGCAAAGAGGAAAGCTACCCGGAAAACGGTCTAACTAAAGTGGATATAACTCAGTACTATTCGGAATCAATCCGGATAACCTTATTCACCGAAAAAGATGACCGTTTTATCGAAACGGTCTAAGAAATTCGCGTTTTGACGTAGACTACGTCGTACGGGAGGGTACAGAGGACAAATCCAAAATCTAAAATTGCGACCGTCACGAAACGCTGTTAGGCTTTACGTGCTTCTAACTTTGTAATTGATACATGAAATTAAAATCCAAACATACCAATCGATAGCAAAGAAGACTACAAATCTGATTAAAATAAATAATTGCAAATTTTTCATAAAAAAAACTTGGAAAAAGTTAGGATACAAAGAGATAATTTTATCACTGTTTTCATGAAAAAAAAAAACAGTTTCCCTAACCCAGTCGTCATAATCGAAGACCACCGTTTGTTATAAAAAAGCGCTGCTGTCACACTCCCACTCATTTTGGCATCTGACGGCGGTAAGAGGTGGATTTTTTTCCTCGCAGCGGACGGCGTGATGATCAGAATAGAGTGCTGAGGATGATCTTTGATTGTCCTTTCGATACAAAAATATCCAATTTCCACCCCGAGGTGAACGTATGTTGTGATGATGATCATGATTGCCATGATAAGGTGTAGTTGTAAATAGTAGTTTTAAGTAGTTCTTTCCAATTTCAAACAAACCAATCCCACCAACCATTCTCTGGAAAGGCCTTGCAGGACTAGGAACTGT